TATATATATATAAAAGCTCATAATGTTTCTCCATCTATTCTCTTGCAGCAGCTGCAGAATTCACTGCTGTTCCCTAATCCCTGCTCTCACACTTATGAGAAACACCAGTTCACAATAGCTGGGGGAAAAATAAATTCGATGGTCTACTCCAACTTCTTTCGCAACAAGACTGAGATTGGGAATCATTTGACTGTTTTCCAGCTGGGACACATTTCAACACATTCACAATGAGAAAGTGTGACATGTCGTGAAATGAAAGTTCCACGTCTCGTTGCTTTTAAGTTGTTGAGTAAATTATGAGGAATCAGCTGGCAGGGCGCCAGTATCCCTGAGGCAGAGTGACGCATTACTCAAACTTTAAACAGAGTTCAGCTCGGATTATCTGCCAAATCTGACAGAGACTTGGATTAGATCCAAGATTCTAAATGTTTATGATGAACGAGAAAAGATATTGATTTGCAGATACAATGCAACTATACTATGAAGATTTATCATCATGCAGCAGTAAAGAGGAGAGGGAATGGCATCCTGAATTCAACTTTATTGTTATTACACTGTCACGAGTACAAAGCAATGGAATTCACTGTCCTCATTTAACTGTGCGGCGCCCAGGAAGCAGTATAGGATCTGGCTCAGGGATTGAGGCTTGAACTCAAAACCTCCAAGCGCAAAGCCCTAACCACTGGGCCACCACTCCCCTGATAATTGAGCCACGACATTCAACCCATCCCCTTGGGGATCAGTAGGCTGCCATTGTGCGGCGCCTGGGGAGAAATCTGCGATTAAGGGTTTTGCTCCGAGATCCAGAGTGGAAGCACTAAGGATCGAACCGGATACTTAGAACCTTCTCAGAGCACAAGCACACTGCTCTAACCACTAGGCCAACACTGTCCTATCTTAAGCTTTGGTAGTTTTAATTTAAAAAAAGATTAAAAACCTAAATACTCTTTAGAGACTGTAGTGTAGCAAACGCTTGCTTCTGTAGTGACGTTGAACTAGGACAGAAGACAAAAATTCCAACTCAAACTACTTTATTTAAATTTCATGCTCTCTTAACTGTGATATAATTTTGGTTTTAGTTAAAAGATGATTGTTTGGTGTAGGGAAAATGAAGCATGGCCTTTAAAAGTTCTAAACTGAAATCTGAAATGTGGACTTTGCTTTTATCTTTAACCCTTCTGAACTTTGATTACAAAAACATTTTTTATTTGGTGACTCCTCTTTTCTCAGAAAGTTACATTTTGTTAAATTGCAAATATATTGCTGTTAAGGTAAAGCTAACACGGGAATTTGTTGCCACATCAGCTCGCCACGTTTAATTGGCTGGCAGAGAGAAGAATGCCACTGAAACACTCTAAG